CATTCAAGGTACTACCATTTCGCCTAAGTAGCTAACCAGAAATCCGATGGTTTGAGCTGATTCGACTCCCTGAGCCGAGTCGTACCATATACACCGATTATGAGCTTGGCTCAAAACCAGCAAAACAGGCGTCAAGTGTTTTAATCACTTCAATCCGGCCAACAAGCACTATTGTTTGATGTGAGTAGTACACAACTAGTCATCTCACTGAATCAGTGGCATGTAGTTTCATGCATCCTCTAATCTTGATTTGTCGACAGAAAAATTCACAAATACAAGAAATTCAGTAAGTACATCCGTGGAAGTATTAGCTGGAAGCTTTATTTTTGTCAAGGAAGACATTTGCTGAATATAAAATGTAACAATATGATGTTCAAACCTTCTTAAATGTAAACACAGTACTTCTAGAGGCCTTTTCTGGAAACACTTGTTTTGTTGAAATACAGCATATTTTGAAAATATAATAATTGCATATTGTGCAATATCCTCACCAGAAAGCGTCAAAACTACATCTCATGACAGAGACCTAAATTAAATCTCACGGAGTCGATATAATAGTCTCAAATCAACGAATGTTGGGTCTCTATTGTATTATTATTATTCCCTTGGGTTCCTAGTGGAACATAGGGCTTTAACTGCACGTCTCCACTTGCTTCTGTCTTCTGCTGTACTTTTCACCTGCATCCATGTTAGTCCATACTGTTTCAACTCTTCGTTACACGATCTCTTCCATGTCACCCTTGGACGTCCCACTCTCCGCTTCCCTTTCGGGTTCCACTCGAGCACTGGCCTGACGCGCGATGCCACCCAGTGACCTCCTTAGCGAGTGTCCAATCCATCTCTACTTTATCCTGCATATTTGTTGGGCGATTGGTTCTTGTTTTGTTTGTTTCCATAGTTTCTTGTTGGTGATTCTTTCCCGCCAAGTGATCTTCAGTATAGAACGAAGACAGTTGTTGATAAAGGTCTGCAACCTGTTGGAAATATTCTTTGTGACCCGCCAAGTTTCTGATCCGTATAGAAGAACTGACTCACTTGACGTTTGTATTGAAAATCCGGATTTTGTTGTTGATGTTGAGTGGCGAAGACTTCCAGATTGGTTTCAGGTTGATGAATGTGTTTCTCGCCTTCCCGATTCTCGATTTGACATCCTCGTCCGTTCCTCCTGTAGTTGAGACAATGCTCCCTAGATAAGTGAATGAAGTAACCTCTTTCAAATCCCTCCCGTTGATGGTGATTGGCGCTGGATGTTGCTGCTGCTGCTGTTGTTGGTTGGTTATTTTCATAACCTCCATCTTGTCTATGTTCACCTGGAGTCCTGTCTACTCTGGCTGCTTCTTTGACCAGTTTGTCGGTTTTCGCTTGTAAGTCTTCGATCTTGTGTGACATCAAACATAAATCATCCGTAAAATCCAGGTCTTCTAGGTTCTTCACGACGGTCCAGGATATCCCTGTTTTCTCGTTTCCCACTGTCTAACGCATAATCCCACCACAATTAGGAATATCATTGGTGATAATAAGCACCCTTATCTGACTCCTGTGTTTACTCCAAAAGCCTCGCTGGATCACTTGACATGTGCTGTTGTCGTACAGCTGTTGAATAAGGTTGATGAATATTTGGGGTACTCCGTAGTACTCGAGTAGTTTCCAAATTACTTCACGGTCAACGCTGTCGAAGGCCTTCTCAAAGTCTATAAAGTTTAGGTAGAGGTTTGATTGCCATTCCATGCTTTGTTCGATGATGATGCGTAGAGTTGCAATTTGGTTAAAACATGATTTACCTTTCCTGAATCCAGCTTGTTCTGATCGGAGTTCTGTATCCAGTGCGTCCTTTATTCTCTCCAGGATGATGCGACTCAAGATTTTACTTTGCATCGACAAGAGCATGATTCCTATTGAGTAGTGAGAATTAATAGACGACCTCGCATTTTAAATATGAAGACAGCTTAAGACATACTCACTGAATGGAAGCAAAGATAGGCTGAAATACGAAGTGTTATTACAAAAGAAAGTGACTATTCATCTATCAACAAGATTGAGTTGAAGTGTCCTCACTGTCGCTATAAGTGAGCTGTCTGACAAATGCAAAAACAAGGTTTAAGGACAGATTTCATATTACTTTTGATGATTCAATACATGGCATTTATTTTAGATCTTTGAATAAGCTTCACATAACAGATCACTAAGACCAGTGGTTTTAGTACAGGTGGACTTTTGATAAAGTGTACATCAAGTGAATTTTGCTTCAGATTTGATGACACATTAGTTCATAAACACTAAATGAAATCTAGCTAAAGGGGCGCAAACAAGGCATAACACTCCATTCCCCTAAGAGTAAATACACCTATTTAAAATATCTGAGAGTTAGCAAGACAAACAATAATAATAAAAGTATGACGGTCAGTGATTAGGGGCGCGAAAGAAAAGACAGAAAGTTCACAGGATGAGTACTGAACAAAGCAAATCGACTTTAGGACGTTTCCCATTCGATCAGAGATTGACATCAGTTAAAAAACCCATTAAAAGCAAAGAGTACTGGACAACTGTTTCGCTCCAGTGTGGGAATCTTCAGAAGCACACACACTCGCTCCCACTCAGGGCCTTTAAGTCACGAAATCACCCTGTTAACGATTTGGCCAGTGAGATCGAAACTAGTGGCCCATGAATTCCAACTTTTGTGAATCCATGATTTATAGCTCAATCACTAGCCAATGTCAGCGAAAAGTATGTGTCCTCCTTCCCGACTTGATGGACTCCACTAGCCACGACTTCTCGCTAGAACTCCAGACGACTACGTCTTGCAATCAGTCATTACTGGGAATCAGACTAATTTTCAAGTGTTGATATGTAGGGTTTTGATTGCCTTCAAGCTTGATCCCGGACTGACATCAGATAGAGAACCATTGTCATTTCACTAAAAATTATTATTCATATATTGCTTCTATTTCTGAAATAACTAGTCTCCACATAAATTCTCACGATTAGTCAGCGATATAATGCCCTGAAAAGATACATATATTTGCCCATCACGGTCATTCACTCTATTTACTTTCTAACTGATCATCTTCATCATAGCAAGAACAAAGTTTGTAGTGTTAAGTGTGCAGATAACAAGTAAATTGGAGGGACAGAAGGGTGGGGACCCATTTGCCTCCCTAAGCACATACCAAAAAGCCTGGGAACCAGAGCCTTGCAGGAGCAACCGGCCTACTTTTAATCTAATCGGGACACAAATGACGAAATCCAAATTTACTTCGATTTGCTGAGTCTACTGCCAAAATGCAACTCAAACTAAACTTTTGTATACAGAAGGAAACGGTTAGTAGGCTCAGTTTGCCCCTGATAATAAGTGTTCCCACTTACTACATAATTACTACATACTACCCTTATTATTATTACTGTTACCATGATTGTTTTATTTTATTAACCCACTGGTCGTAACTCATCTGATTTTTAATTGATTCTGGATGCTTATTGTATAGTATTACGCAACCATCTCTCCCTATATGTAGCTGGGTAGTTAGTGGTATTGTTTGTTGTTAAGCCAATTATCAAAAATCATCGAATATTCATCCAAACTTACGATAAATACATGCCATCTATTCGTGTTATTTGTAAATGATTATGCTTTTACATGTCACCTATTATTGTCCCCTATAACTACGATCTTCATAAAAAAACTTCCGCTTAATGAAATTGAAAAACGTTATTTTGTAAATCCTATTTATATGTCTGGAGTTGATGAGGAACCCTGAGGTAAAATGTGCACCTTTTTGTACTGCGAATTTTGTTCTTTTAACTTTGACAACGATATAGTACGCCAGGTTGGTTGGTAAAGGAAAAAACACAATGAATGTCTGAATAATCAGACTCAAAAATTCACAACCATATTAGATAATCCTGCTATCATAACTACTGACCTTAGACTTTTTATAATCACGTTATTAAATTGCATACAACCAAGCAGCTGAAATCCAACTGACATGTGGAACCTACATAAAGCCAAGTGGCAGTCTACTAGAGGAACACTTAGCCGATATGAATTATAAAACTGATATCAAAATAGCTTTCAAGACCATTTGTAAAATCGTCAGGGAAAGCGCGTACGGAAATGCCCTAAGGCGACACTAATTCATAATGTTAAGCCTCCTACTGTATACAAAAGTAATTTACTATTACCCTTAACCTACCCTGATAATCCTTATCTAACTATCCAATATCGTTTTTATGAGCTAGTATAAACCAATTTGATTTCTTTGTACTCCCCTCTCGCTTGTGAGGTATAGGTTCCTGATCTTCGGTAAACACACAGAGTAGTGTCGATAATTATCGTTTCTATCTTCAAATCCCTCATCATTTCTTTTATATAGATTGGCCTTTCATTTTTCATTCTTAGCGGAGATTGATTTGACAGGTAAATGTATTATCAGACTGTTCGAAATGTAGTTCACAAAATACACCATATTTTACAGTTGAAATCTATCTTGTAAAAACGCTACCTAAGTTAATTAGCTTAGTCAGAACTTTACAAAGTAGTAAAACGCCTTACAAGTTACAGAATGAACCAGGATTGTGCGCTATAGCAGGCTGATATACTAGCCAATCGGAAGATAATAAATTAATGATGGTTCAAAAGCCATTGAAATTGGCAGGATTCGGAGAAGTAGTAAGAGTAGTACAATAAACAGCAGGAGAAAACCTCGTTTAATGATGCTCACAATGGTGCAAATTTGGTGAAAGTTTCGTCGAATAATGGTCGGAATGCGAAAAAGGTGAAACTCTTGATATGTAACCAAAACTCGCACATTTTATTATCATATGAAATGCCCATCATTCATTCAGTTTTTAACATTTCTATCTGACTGGATTAGCACATTGCTGCATTATTTTTTCATACAGCAACAAAATCAACGCTTTATTCAATATCCTCTGACACCAAAAATGAAAGATAAATTAAAAAATTAGAATAACTGGAAAATTTTAAACTACGATAGACTTACTTGAGAAACAAGACGCAATATCTTATCCATATTTTTTAGCAGCACCGAAACCACCGCGTACTGTTAGACACATAATTCAAGGTCTTTCTTTTTAGTGTGAAGCATGTAAACACACGTTCAGATTTTTGATTCAAAGTATGTAACCTCAAGCCTATTTCAGTCACTTTCTAGCCAGTGACTGTCGTTTTCTCGTCCTCTCTTTAAAAGGTCTATTTTAGGAGAAGACACCTCCCCTTTGGAGAGTGGGTCCCAAAAGGCAATGTCACAGATTCAAATTCAGATGACAGCTGCCACCAGACCACTATGGTGTATATCAGTGATAAGATTGTCCCTGTGCAGATTGAACCCCCTTTGTAAATGCTAACAAGCAGCAGTTTCAGTCTCTGACCACTCTTTATGATCATCTAAATTCCACTCATAATTTGTTCAGTCCCAAATTGAGCTACTTTCTAGTGATAAATCAAAGGTGTCCTAGAAGGAGAGAAAAATAAAGGATAATAGGTATGCAGTTCAACCCTGATAAACGATAAACAGAAACTGAATAACCTCTTCTTTGGTACCATAGTTAACCTAACCTTCGTCTTCCTTCTAAGACTTGTGCCTGCTTTTGAAGAATGGGGTTGGCAGTTAGTGTCACAAAACTTTCAACGTGTGGTATGATACATACTGTCCCCTGTCAGTCGTTGTTGTGATAGGTATGCCTAACGTGGTTACTAAGTGTTTAATGAATGAATTTTTTGCTGTTTCCTTAGCAGCAGCAGTGAACCTGATGAACATATCAATGTATGCGAATAGACGACTGGGTCCCGTTAGAGCACGTTAAGGCACCTACAAGTTCCCATTAACATGGGAGAAACGTGCATTTGGCAGTAGGAATTTTCTTAAAGGCTAGGTGATCGAGAAATGACTGGTGAAAGAAAAGCTCTCAAGACACATCATCCGGAAAACATTCGATTTTTTAGATGCAATTAGGCTTGGCAGATAAGAAAAAGGTCTTCCTGTACATCATTTCTCTCTTCATCAACGTCCCACTGACAGAAGCCATCTGCATTTTTTGTGACTTCATTCAATCCAATATCATCGATGTCCGCATAGTGATCCATTATCTAAAAGATCTCTTACAAGAACACACCTTCAACGTCTATTTTAGTTTAAACAACGATATATACGGGCAAATAATCGCAGTGGCAACGGGTTCTTCTCTAGGACGTCTCTTGGCCGATTTCTGTATGGCTAGCCTAGAAAAAAGTCTTTAGCTGCAAGTGTTGACGAGCCCCACCTCTACAAGAAGTACGCCGATGATGCTTTCATTATATGTGGCGGGAATTTGATAACACCCTTCCAAACAACGATTTCACTCTGGAGGTTGAGTCTGATTCAATATTTCATTTCCTTAATGTCCAAACGCGAAGGAATGCTGATCAATCACTGAGAAGACCCCTCTACAAGAAGTACACATAGAACGAACAGTTTATCAACTTTCGAAGTTGTGTGTCTCTAAGCAGAAAGAGAAACCCAATATACTCTCTTTCCTCAAATCTCCGGAAAATCCCCACTGAAGAGTCAATTTACGAAGAATTTCGTCATCTCCGAGGTACCTTGATAGAAAATGTTTTCCCACACAAATTCATGGACAAGAATGTAAAACCAAAGCAAATTCTTGGAAAGGTCTAAATCGACCCAAAAATGATGCTGATACTTGACCTCGAGTTTGAGAGTAATACTGAAGCAGAACTTCCCTTAAGATGGCTTTCGAAGTCTCTCAGCAGGACTTCGCCGCCAGTCTGTGAGCAGCATTTTTCTGTAAGAAACCACTCGACCAGCACAGGAAATACAAGCTGTTGCAATTAGCCACTTCAACATTTATGTACCAGTTCGCTCACTCCTGTTGGGCTAAGTCCGCTTGTGAAACGCGATCGCGCTCCAGCATGGTTACCAAGTGGAGGACGCAAGTGTGAATGTCACGTGGTAACAGAACATCCAGTGAACCCAGGATATTCAGCTCCATTTGAAAGGTCCTTCAGAGTCATATACAAGATCCCATCAAATCTCTTAAAGGGAACGAAATCAAGGCATGTAGAAATATCTGAACCACTGGCGATCCCAAGCCTCAAGCGCACGCTCAGTCTCACCAGTAATGACTACCCTGTTACCATTCTTATCCAACCATTGTCTTGATTTCTGTGATTTTTACCCTTTTAATTCCAATCTGCATTACTAAATTTGATTGCTAGTTTTTATTTTTATAAATTTCAGAACTCCTTATCTTTTTTGTTATTGCAAATTCCTTAATCCGAAATTTGTACAAAACGTCAAGTTTTTCGGTAATGATCACCTCATTGTGACATTATCGCACTTCGTAATTTTATTGTTTTAATCTTTGACCGGAAACAATTCCGGACCTTTTCCACACATTCACTATAAATGCAAGAATGAGTATCTAATAACGCGCGCACCTTGAACACGATGTGCTTTTTACTATCTAACCGAAAATACCTATTTTGTGAACTCTCCAATCGGGACACCTGATCTTCCTAGCCGGCGAATTATATTCAACCATTACTTCTAAATCAAATCTCTGCGCGGTAAGTGCGGCAAAAGTCATCGTGTTTGTTGATATGGTGGTTGAAACTGGCCTTCAAAAAGCCCCAAAATCAACTGTTCTGCAGTCACAAGGGCTTCAGTCAGATGAGGCAATTACCCTGTGACATAAACACTTTCTCTCACACCCCTATTCAAAATACCCGTGTAAACCTCCCCTTTCCTGATACTGTGCCTACATTGCCACACTCTATCACTGAAATGGTACAGGCAAAATCAAGTGCATGCGATACGACAGCGATATCTGGTGGAAGCCAGTGTGTGACATTCAGCATAGCAAAAAAGAAACCTCGAAAGCGTCACTTAGAAAAGACGAACGTCAAACCTGTAGCGTTGTCGTTCCTAAAACTGACTCAACGTTTGGCTGCAATTTTCACAAACTATGGGCGGACTGCCGTTGTGACTATGCGGTGCCAAAATCATAATATGAGTTTATGCGAAATAACCCGTGCCCCTGGCTCTGGTACACTTGCCCACTTTGTCACCACGCCACAGTCTCACAGTGTGTCACTGGAAAACAGAAAAAGCATGTGACTTTTCCGTCTCAACGTAATCTCATGCACCACTCTGCCTGATAACACCACATCACCAAAACTTACGAAAAGCCCTAAAAAGGATTGTCCAACGCAACCAACTGAAGACTTGCAAGTTTGCACCTAAAGCAGCAGGGGAAGATGAAATTGTCAAAGGACTACTCGTGTCCGCTTGCAAACATGGCAACATAAAGAAGACTATTCAGAACCCGGTGAAATCTAAAGCAACTGATCCTACAAGGCAGGACAAGCAGCCGACCAGTCGATCGAATTCCCTTGTCCTGTGTAATAAGCCAGTGTGCAACAATCGTCTGTTTGAACAAAGGGCTCTGTTTGATCAGGAACAGTGGTCTAATTTGCGCAATAAATTAAGACTGGTCATCAATTCAGCGAAATATTGCAGGCTGTACAGAGGCGTCCAGGCACCTCAAGGTAAGCCACCTCCAATACGGGTGACACTGGGCTATGCCGAAGAGGCTGAAATAACACTATTACTGGCTGAAATATTAGCTACCAGCAGGAGTTCCAACATTAGAATGAGGCATAATAGTCCAACTGCTAACAGCCAAATGGCTAGGGAGCCAACCTAAATGATGTCATCTATCTCAATGTACATACAAGGTGTTCCGGAGCTGGAAACTGCACTGCTTGCAAAAACACGTGCATGACGTACAGCAATGGAGGTACGTTCAACGTTTGCGTTACATTTTAGCTTGATTCGCTATATATTTCTATTTTAACTGTGAGACTCACACAAGTGTTTCTCCAGTTCCATAAATTTAACCAATAACTCTTTCACTAATTAGTTATGGTTAGTCATACAAAAAAGCCACGAACTCAGTCACCTGTCAACGTGATGACTAATAGTATAAATATGCTCACAACGACGAGCTGCACAACTCCCACAAAGTATGGAAATGAGGCACACAGCTTGCCAATACGCCGCAAGCGTCGAGCTGCCGGTTCACTACCATCTACTGTGGCTGAAACTGAGGGCGAAAACTTGCTGACAAACAGCAGTAGCAACGCTTCTACAAACTCAGCACTTGGTCCTGACATAAACCTCTTCACTTCACCCTATGTACGTGTCACAAAACTTCAGATTCCAAGTCCAGCTCCAACACTTACTTCAGAAATAGAACGACTAAAGCTGGCTGTTGAAGAACTGAAGACTGAGATGCGGGACATAAGGTGTAGAAAAGATATGAATACAGGATTTTCAGAAAATTTGGCCAACATATCTGAACTATCAACACAGGTTGGTGATATAAAATCACAGGTCTGTGAACTTGCCCCTCTGAACATCTTGACTAAGACCATAAACCCTGGCGAACTTGACACAGAATCAGTATCTAAGATAGACACCTTGATAAACTTCATCACAACAGAGGTTATCAAAAGACTTGATACTAAACTAAGTGTGATTGTCTACAATATACCGGATAATGAGGGGTTGAAAAAGGTTCAAAGCATCTTACTTAGGGCGGCGAAAATGCCTAACTCCCAAACAAAATGTCACAGACTGAAGAGGAGTCAGCACGACCACTGCTGTCCTATACGCCTTCAGTTCGAAACGCAGACAGAGGCTAAAAAATTCACCAACACACAACGTATCCTATTACAGGACACAAGCTACAAACAGGTAAAAGTTGTAGCAGATAAGACAGTGATTGAAAGGCGTGCTTACAATCACCTTAATAAACCAAATGGCAGGACACCTCAAGCCACTAAAACAGATATACACACTACCAACACGGTAGAACTCATAGCCTCCCCCCTCTCTAATCCCGTAAGAATAGCTCCAGAGAAAATGAAACCAAACGAAAGACTTGTGAGCTATAGTCTTACTCCTAAAGCAACCTCTCCTCCCTCTACGGTGGATCTAGATATGTCTATGGACAGCCATAAGATGGTGATCAATCCCTCTTGTAAGCTGACAACATCCTCT